ATTTTCCAAAAGGGCCCCATGGCGGCCCCGCGTGCGAGCCGTGACGTTTTTGATCGAGCTTTCTTGGACCAGCGCGCGCCAAAGAAACTAAATGCGAGCGTCAGCGCGATGAATTCAAGAAGCCTTTGGGCGCGGCCTGCGCCGCGACAGTGGTTTCCTTGCTCTATCCCTGTCCACTGCAAGCGGCTCAGCTTTCATATCTGCGGAGGGCTTAACGGCAGCAGTGCCGCTGTGCCCAGATGACAAAAGAGCGCGCAATCTCGGCGGCGTGGCCAACGCGGGGTCACCACTCTCAGCGACGGTCGGTTCCTAGCCCAGGCTCACCGTCAGAGGCTGGAGTCGGAGGTTGGGGAGTGAGGTCGAAGTGGAACGGAGAGCCCCCCACCGGGAAATCGGTTTCGATTTCGTGTTCGTGCGTGCCGTGCGTGCGGGCGAGGCGAAGCTGCGTGGGCGGGCGAGAGGAAAGTCTCCTGTGGCTGAGGCGCGCCTGGACCAATGATTCCCCCCCCGGCAAACGGGGCCGCGCGGTGTCCCGCCGGTGTCCCGCTGGTGTCCCGCTGGTGTCCCGCTGGTGTCCTGGTAAGTCTCCTGTGGCTGAGGCGCGGCCGGACCAAATGTTTCCCGGCAAACGGGGCCGCGCGGTGTCCCGCCGGTGTCCCGCCAGTGTCCCGCTGGTGTCCCGGTGTCCCGCTGGTGCCAAAACGATAGTGAGACCGATAGTGAGATCGATTGTGAGGTCGATTGTGAAATCGATAGTGAGATCAATAGTGAGATCGATCGAGTGAGATCGATGGTGAGATCGATTGTGGGATCGATAGTGAGAGCGATAGTGGGATCGATGGTGAGATTGATTGAGTAAGATCGATAGTGAGATCGATCGAGTGAGATCGATAGAGAGATCGTTAGTGAGATCGATAGTGAGATCGATGGAGTGAGATCGATAGTGAGATCGACGGAGTGAGATCGATAGTGAGATCGATAGTGGGATCGAAAACGAGATCGAGAGTGAGATCGACAGTGAAATCGATCGAGTGAGACCTATAGTGAGATCAATCGAGTAAGATCGATAGTAAGGTCGATAGTGAGATCAATGGTGAGACCGATCGTGGGATTGATAGTAAGGCCCCCAAGAGCCCCCCAAGAGGCCCCCAAGAGCCCCCCAAGAGGTCCAAAAGACGCGCCCAAACGGCCCCCCAAGCCTTTGCAAAATGAAAGAAATAATTTCATTAGTTCCGGGGGGGGGACTGGTACCAAGGCGCCCAAGAGCGAAGGGTGACGTAAACACCTCGACACCAAGGCTCCCAAGAGCGAGCGGCAACGCAACAATCTCCACTGGCATCGTCAGAACAACAATCACCACTGTTGCCCATTGCTGGCCCCCTCCCCCCAAAAAACCTTCTTATCACCCGCAGGGTGGTCGTATAGGTATCTGGTGTTATGTCGGTCGCGGTGTCTGGCGTCTTGCTCAACGTTTTCCACAGACGGACAGGTTTGCCTACTTGGTTAAAGTCGGGGGGCGGGGGGCGCTGCGTGTCCATTCTGAATCAGGCGCAGATGTATGTTCCGACGCCTCCCTTCCAATGGGCCATTCTTTCGCCCTTGGCTACTATATACAGTCTGCGGTTCACCACGTTGTCGAAAATGGCAGGGCACACGCGCTGTTTTGGGAACATTCAGCTGTCCATTCCAATGATGCCAAAGCCCAGCTCCCGCAGCCATGACTCCAGCCAGTCGAAGCAACCCTCCTGAAGCGAATTTTTCTTGTCTCTCTCTCTCTCTCTTCTTCTGCGCGGTCGGCTTTTTCTGCTTCGGGCTCCAGCTCGTGACCAACACCCCGCGGGGGGCTCTCCCTGGGTTGAACTGAAACACCATCGCTCGCAGGATGGACAGCAACATTGCGGCGTGGATCTCCATCTGCTTGCCGATCTGGTGCTAGATTTCGGGCAGCTCCACGGAGTCCTGGAGCCCTGCCAGCGCCTCTGCCATCTTTTCATCCGACTCCTTCTTGGCGATCACGTCCCACAGCTCGCTCTGTTTGCGAACCAACTCCATAGCCTTCTCGAGAGTTTTGGGCACCAGCACGAGCCTTTTCACTTCGAAAGGCACGCGATGCAACTCGTTGCCGTGCGCCCGGGAGGCCGCACAATCTTTCGTCATGCTTCTTATCTCCATGCCGCTGTTGCGAAGCATCATGAGTAACGGTGTTGGAATGTTGCACACTTGTGCACCGACTTCCACTGAGATGATTCCTCGCCGCACCGGCTCTGTAAAGCGTTTGGAGCTTCTCGCGTTAGCACACTGACCCCAGACATCCAACGACGTGTTCTTGCGCGGTCCCGGATGCTGCTTCTGTTCCCGATCCATGCTTGATTGCCCTGGGTGGACCCCAGAGGCAGAAATCCGGGGGAAACGCTCCAGCGGAAAAAGTAGCACCGCCGGGTTTGTGGGACTGTGCTCGTTTGCCCCCCTGGCCGCTCCTCCACTCCGCGGCCGCCCTGCCCTCTTCTTCCGCCTCTTGCCAGGCGCAGTTCGCCGCTCAGCGACCCCGAGCCGCTCGACCCACCCACGCGCTCTCCAGGCCTGCGACCGACAAGACATGCTGGGAGCTGGTCTTTGCCTCCCCAGTGGGGTCCGAGTAGATGGGGTCGAAGGGTCGCTCCGCATCGCCGGTGCAGCGGCGACGCGGCTCGGTGTGGAGCCCGATGTTCTCCACGTCGGCGTCGCTGATGCATCGCCGACGCGTCGCCGATGCATCGGCGATGCGGCGGGATCCTCCGACCCCGTCTGCTCGGACCCCGTCTGGGAGGCCTCTTGACTGTGCTCGCGTGCCGCGCGCGCGCACCTCGCAGCCGCTTCTTGGCCGAGGCGTGCTGCCAACGGCTCGCGGCGTGCGCGAGGCCTCGGGCGCCGCGCACCGATGGCTGGCCGCCGCGGCGCGCCGGTGCAGCGCCGTGGCCGCTGCTGCCGCAGGTGATGCCCGGCGGGCTGCCGCGCGGAGGCCGTCGGAGGAGGGCCCCACAAGCAGGCGAGGTGAGCGGCGCAGAGAAGATGGGCTCGAGGCCGCGCCGACGTCGCGCGGCGGCCTCCCGCGCAGCGTCGCGCGTCGGCGACCTCCTCTCCGCGCGGTGTGCCAAGCTGCCCGTGGAAGCTACCGCGGAACGTCGCTATGGCATCTTGCGGCAGACCCATAGATGTAAGATATATCAGGAGGGAAAAAACACACAGACACAATTAATCGTCGATTCCCCAGAAAATATGCGAAAATATGGGAAGTGGGGGGAAGACAAAAAACAAGAAAATATGGGGAAATATGGGGAAACTTTTTATTTGTGTGTACTTATTTGTGTGTCCTGGGGCCCCTTTAATATACATGTTATATATAAAAATATATTTTCATGCGTCGCTCAAGTGGTGGTTGGTCGGAGGAGGGCCTGTCGAGACAGCAGCGTCCCCTGGCCGTTTTTCCTTTTTTGGAGAGGGGGGGCTCCTGGAGACTCCTCGTCGCCACGGACGGCTGGGTTTCTCTTGCGAAAACGTGTCGGGATGGACCCAGAAGGGGTTCAGGAACCGATCTTGAGCGTTTGGCTGGGCGGGAGGCCCGCCATTGTCTCGACTGGCCCTCCTCCTCCTCCTCTTCCTCCTCCTCCACCTCCTCCTCCGCTTCCTCTTCTCCTCCGCCTCCCCCTCGGCCGTTCGAGGCTGAACGGTCCACGCGGTGTTGGCAATCAGTCGGCGGCGAGTGAGGGGGGAAGTAAGAAGGAGAAGGCCTTCTCAGAAGGCGGCGGGGCTTCTCAGAAGCCCTCGCGCCTTTGGGAGGTTGTCTGTGTCTTTGGGGAAGGCCCAGAAAACTTCTCAGAAGGCCGGGGGACTTCCGATCATTCTGAGAAGGCCCGCCACTTCTCACTTTCCCCTGGGCTCGCTGCCGAGAGACGTCAACATTTTTTGATTCAGAATTTCTTGGATCGGCCAAGTATCGCTGGGGGCCACCGACAGCCAGAAGCTCGTCGGCGGTGCTGCTTGACGGACCCAGGGCACCCCAGCTATTGCCGGTTGCCCCCTTCCCTCTCCCCTTCCTCCTTCCTCGTCCTCCCCCCTCCGTCGTCCATCTCATCGGCCACCGCGCTGCTTGGTGGAGTCCACTCCCCCTCAGTGGGGAGGGCTGGGAGCCCAGCGGAGTGCCGCGCAGACAAGAACCCCCCCCGAAAACAAGCCGCACATGCGCGCGATCATAGTTTACACGTTCAGTGCTAGCGGCTTTCGGGTTGGCGACGGCGTGGGGCACGAGGGTTTAGGCTCCCCCATGGGGCCACAGGTCCGGCCGAGATCCGTGCGCCCACCCCCAAAAAAAGTTGGCAGCAACATCCCCAGCATAATGGAGACCAGCCGAGATCTCGGCAAGCACCCCCACGCGTGTTGTGCGGCTGCTCTGCGGCTGCAAGCCTTCTGGCTGTTGGGCCCCCTCTCCGCTGGGCGGAGAGCGTGCAGCCGATGGTGCTGGCCGGCAAGACCGGGTGGTCCCTGCCTGAGCTGACCGCGGCCCTTGTCGCGATACTGTTTCTGGCCGTGCTGTGGCTGCTCTGCTACAGAAGGTTCGCGCCCACGTCATCGTCGTCGTCGCCGTCGCCGTCGTCGCCGTCGCCGTCGCCGTCGCCGTCGCTGTCGCCGTCGCCGTCGTTGTCGTCGTCGTCGTCGTCGTCGTCGTCGTCGTCGTCGTTATTGTCCGTCGCCGTCGTTGTCGTCGTCGTCGTCCTACCTCTGGCCGTGCCGTGGCTGCTCTGCTGCGGCCGCCCGATCCAAAGCTGCACAAGAGCACGGACTTCTGGAGAGCCGCGCGAGCTTCTCTCGGCGGAGGGCTGGTCGAGACAGCGGCTTGCCTGTGTCGTCCTTGTTAGAGGCCCCCTGGCGAGCCGAAGAAAGAAAACGGCCTAAACATAAACTTTCGGCGCTCCGCGCGGATTTCTTGGATCCGCGCTGAGCCAGCCCCCCCCGGCGGCGCCTCCGGCGCCGCCCCAGGGGTGCCCAGCGCTGATGCAAGAAAGCCGCGCGGAGCGCCAAAAGTTTTGTTAATGGCGTTTAGCCGTTTTTTCTCATCAGTAGTATTGTTCTTACTTTTATTAATATTATTCGTATTGTTATGGGTACTATTATTATTCGTAGTGTTAGTATTCTTGCTGTTGTTATTAATAGTTGTGTTGCTACCATTATTCTTCTGATTGTTAACATTCGTCTTATTATTAGTAGTATTAGTATTAGTATTAGTATTAGTAGTATTAGTACTCGTATTATTACTACTATTTGTAATACGATTGTTATTATTACCATTCGTCTTATTCGTATTCGTACGGTTATTGTCATTGTCATGATAATGTTTTTTCTTATTCTTCTTATTCTTCTTCTTCTTCTTCTTCTAGGAGAGGGTTCTCCTCGGCACGGGCGGACCCGCGTCGTAGGGCGTACCAGGGTGGACCCCAGGAGGGGGTGTGGGGACCGCTGCTGGAGCGCAGCCATGGCGGGCGGGAGACCCGCCGCTGTCTCAGCTGGCCCTCCTCCGATTCCTTGAGTCGGCGCTGGACCGCCCCCCCTCCCCACACCAGTTCCCTCCCTCCCTCTCTCCCTCCCTCCTCCCTCCCTGCCTCCCTCCCTCCCAGCGCCTCTTGTGCTGTCCCCTGGGTCGGCGCTGGACCGCCCCCTTGTGGCGCGGACTTGTCGGGTCGGCCCTGGACTCCCCCTTCCTTGGCGCGCAAAGCTCCAGCGGTGGCGCGGCGGCGCCAGAGGCGCCGCTGAGGGGTGCAGTGCCGACCCAGCAATGTGTGCGGAACTCCGAAATGTTGTTATCGTACAGTTGTCTGTTCTCCTAGAGGAGGTCGTCGAGGTCGACGTCTTCCCTCCCCACACCGGTGGCGCCTCTCGTGCTGCCCCCTGCGCGCTCCCTGGGAAAGGGGGGGCTTCAGCGCCGAGCCAGGACCTCCGCGCGGACCTTCGGAGGCTCGCCCCTGTCGCTTCTGGCACGAGGGAAGCTGGTCCTGGTCGAAGCGGTCCCAGTCCCCAGGGCTCCCCCCAGGACAGATCATTCACCTCGAGCCGTTTCTGACGGTCCTGGGGCCCAGGGAGCGCCCCCAGGCGCCCGAGAACATCAGACATCTCCCAGGACCCCCATACGTTTCGTTGATGTTGTTGTCTCTCTTCCGACTGTGCAGTTTCTTCGCGACGTCGGCTCCCAGGCATTTCGACCTCTCGACCACTTCCAAGGGGCGGGCTTTTCAGCCCGAGTCGTTGTTTGTCCGTCCCGAGGACGAGATGCGGCCTCCAGAGGCCGAAACGTCGGAAAACTGGGCCGTCGCGATGTGTTGCAGCGCCTGGACCTCCAGAGTTTGGTCCCTCTGCGCAGAAGGTTCGCGCTCACCTTCGAGCTGTGGCAAAACCAGCACAGGTACTCTACGATCGAGAGCATGCAGGGCGTGGACACCATGAGCGACCAGGATTAAGTCGGGCGTGTCCCTCCACACGAGGAGTATTCAAAAATAGATAAAAATAGTCAGGGGACGATGCTTTGACTATTTCGGAGCATTTGGGAGGGCATTTTCTGCCTATTTTTAATTTTTCGTCCAAGCCCCGCCTGTAGGGGGACACGCCCGACTCAAGACCAGGACGACCGCGCGCCGGAGTCCGACGACGACCTCTTCCTCTCTCGCGCGGGTCCGGCCACGTCGGCCAGGTCGCACCCGCAGGCGGTCACTGTCGTCAAGTCACGACGGACGGCTTTTGGCAGCGTTCGGCCTCCCGGGGCCCTTCCCGGCCTTGGGGCCGTCAACAGAGGAGGCGGGGTGAAAGCAGGTGTTCGGGAAGAGGTGCGATAAGAGTTGCGTCGCCAGGGGAGGTGGATTTCTCCCGTCGTCCTCGTCGCCGCCGTCGGCGAGGGCGGCGATGCAGCTGCTCCTTCCTTTTTTCTGCACGAGGCTGCGAGCCCCTCCCAGAAGCTCCTTGCCTTCAGCCCCCTCCCCCCTCCACCCCACGCCACGCCACGGCGGCGCCACCCCCGTCCCCGCCGTCGCTGTCTCCGTCCTCGCCGTGCTCCTCGCCGTCGTCGACGGCGACGAGGCGAAGAGCTTTTCTCGGATCTCAGAAGCTCGCTGCCTTTCGGGAGGCCGCCCCCGCGCGAATCAGCCCCCCTTCCCACCGCTGCCCCCCTTCGGAAAAATGCGGCGCATCACAGCGTATGTGTAGCTTTGCTTACTTCCTCCCCGTCCCGTTCCCTGTGTGTCGCAGCCACCTGGAGATCATGCCACGGGCGAGTGCTGACACAAATAAATTGCCTCGTCGAAGCATGATGAGTTGGACTGGCGAACGAGCGTCGGTGCCGTTCCCATGCTCCCAGACCTCCGCAGATCATGGATAAGGGGCGATGATTCCGTCCCTGTATGTGATGGTCGTGCGGAGTGGAAACTCTAGAGACATCCTCGCAGGATGTGGAGTTGCTTGTTTCAGGGGCCGGAGGGGGAGCAGAGGCATCTCATCGGTCTCCGGCTGTTCCGACCTCTGCCACCAGCTCGCTCGGAGAGAGGTGGCCATGATATTGAATCGGCATGGCGCAAAACTACCATTCCTCAGCGAGCCGTAACAATGAGCTCTCTGGCAACACCAACGAGCTGCCCCGTGCGAAGCCCGAGGCCGCTAACGGGGACGCCCCCCCCCCCCAAAGGGGGCCACAAGCCCAAGGCAGGCAGGGGGACCGCACCCCGACCCCGACGACGACGGCGGCGACGACGACGACGACGACGACGACGACGACGACGACGACGACGGCGACGACGACGACGACGAGCCACGCGACGAGCCAGGCGACGACGACGAAGGGAGAGGGGAACGAAGGAGGAGGGGGGGGAGGGCAACGGAAAGGGGGGAGAGAAGCGGTCCCCCGCCCCCGCGGGTGTGGGGCCCCCAGGGGGAGGCGGTGGACGGGCAAGTCCTGCCCCCTCCGCCGGACAATCCTGCCTGCCTGTGAGCGGCCTCAGGTTTCGCACAGGGCAGCTTGTTGGTGTTGCCAGGGAGTTCAGTGTTACGGCTCGCTGAAGAATGGTAGTTCTGCAGTGTTCTGTTCCCCGCCCCTCGCCTTCCGCGTCCCTCCCGTTTCGATCACAGCGTTGCGTTGCATGCACTTGCTAGTTTTTTATATATGCGCGCGCTGCCCCCCGATCTCGGGGGCGGCGTCCACCGCCCTGGGGGCGTCAGGGACGGTTCGCTTTCGGAACCTCCCGTGCCCTGCACCCCCCTCGCGCGGCCTCAGCCACTTCTATGTTCTTGCCGTTCGCTCTTGTCCTCCTGCTTCCCTCTCTGCTGGGCTCTTTCCCCCTCCTGCGCCCTTGCGTCGCATCGGCAACCGTGGCACTAGGTGCCCACTCTTTTTGCGAAACGGCTTGGCCTTGCCAGCCAGGCTACTGCGGGGCCTTTCTCAGCTTGCGGCCCCAATTCGCTGCCTCTTCTGCCTCCTAGCTGCGGCCCGATGTTGGCCCTTTCGTCATCTGAGTTTCGGGTTGACCCTGTAGGGTAGTCCACAGGTGTCGCCGCAGCACTTCTTTAATATGATCGCCGCCGCCTCGCGCCTTCTCGTGGCCTCCTCCGCCGCTCGGCTTCTGGCATGGGCCAGCTGCCGCGGGAAGCGTGTAGATCGCTCACTGTCCGTGGCCCAGGGAACCCGCGAGCCACCAGAGAACTCTTTGGGGGGAAATTGAATCGATATGATGCCCATGGCGAAGATGGCCATGGTGGCCAGCCAGTCCACACATATTCGATATCCTGTTGCAAAGCAGCAGAGAATCTGATACAGGCATTCCGGCATTCCTTGGTACTTAGGTCATCACCGACGCCGGCAACCGCATGGATAAGTATTTCTACGGAGGACCCGGTCGCACCGCCCTGACGCAGACGAATGGCCAGACCATGTCTCAGTAGATCGGGACCGACGAGGACCTCGACCATGAGTCCATGATCACTGGCGCGTTCCCCGACCAAGTGAGAGGCGTCATGCTGTGGCGGGGCGCGGGGCTCTCGGCTACGTAGAGGGCATCCCTCAGTTCCGTTCTGGACGGCAACTGGTCGGGGGAAAAAGGGCACCAGACGGATCAGGACTCACTCGCCCGTAATCCGTCTCGTCAGCGTCCGACGTACAACACTGGGGCACCGTCGACTTTCGGGAGGAGTGGACTCCCAGGAAGAAGATGACGACCAGGAGACGACGTTTGCCCTCGAGGACATCCCACGACGTCGAAGCCCTGGAGGAGTACGTCGCCACGTCCCAGAGCTAGACCACCGCAACGAACAGGACGAGGGTCCAGGCCAGCACGATTTTCAGTGGAGCGCAGAAGGCCCGCGGACTCGGCCCCGTCGTGGGCACAGCATCCAGTCGAGCAGACCCACCGCCCCCAGAGGCCCCCCGAGGCCGCCGAGGGACAGCGGCCAGCACGGAGGCCAGGGGCCACCGCCCACCAGGGGATCGAGACCGACGCCGCCATCAGACAGACACCCAGAGCGCCGAGACAGCTGAACTGTTTGATGCGCGGAGGGCCCCGCAAGGCGGCGGAGTGCCTTCACAAGAGCGAGAATGACTAGCAGGTGTGGGCTTGGCTGGTGTCGTATCCGGTGGGCTGGACGGGGAGCAGTCCCCAGCAGCTCTCGGCTCCCGCTGGGACGGCCCAGGCGGTCGAGTCAAGTGGAACCTGTCCGATCAGCGCCCGTCGCGTACGCTGCTTTCCACGTCCAGCTTCGTGGGCAATGTGATCGTGGGCCTGAATGCGACAAGATCGATGGGCGGCACCCGCTTGATCGGCTACCTCCATTCAGGAGATCTACAGCGCCGCGCGGTCTGACGTGTCCGAGCTGGCTGGAAACATCAAGATTGCGCTCACCGACGCCAGCGGGGCGAAGCGACAGAGCAAGGGAGCGGCTGGAGTGCCCCACCGTCTGGCCTAAAATGCACAGCGCGGTTGCGCGCGGTGCGCTCTCGGGCCGCCCATGCGCCCGACGCTGCTTGACTTCCATTATTTAGAAGGCCGCTGAGGCGAACTTCATTCACGACTGCCACCCGGTATATAGCGCCGGCCACCGCGAGGCCCCCACGGCGGGCCTGCCGTTGATTTAGGGGCAGCGGCAGCAACCTTTTACAGGGGCACGCAGGCACTGGGCCGAAGTGAGGACTCCCTCGAGAGACCGAAGGTCACGAAGGGCTTCTGCGGGAATTCTGTTCTTGTGATTATCCCAGCGCCGCCTCGGTCCAAGCAGACCCACCAGCCCCCGCCGACGGCGGACCTCTCATCAGCGGCTCCATATCCTACATCGTTCCATTCGGCAGCCGGCGATACGCATGCCTGCGTCATTGGTCGATTCTGGGGGCCCTCGTCGAATCGGGCGACGAGGAGACGGGCTGCTCCTCATCGCGACCGCCGTCTGCGGCTACCTCGGCAACGCCTGCAGCTGCGGCTTCGCCGCCGCCCGCAGTGGACCTTTCCGGGCCCCCCCCAGACGCGGCCCAGGAATTCGACCAGGGCGCGCACGAGCAGAGCAGCGCAGAGCATGGAGCTGCCCCTGGGCCGACGTCCGAGGAGAGGCGCCAAGCCGCTGCGCGGGGGGCAGCTCGCGAAGCCGCGATGGCCCAGGCGGGGCGCTTGCGAGACGAGTCGGCTTCTCGCTGCCCAGTCCAGACCCGTCGATCACAGCCCGGGCGGCGGCCGAGATCTACCACTGACGGGCGGCCCAGCGACGCGAGGGCACTCTGCGTTTGCGGGCCGAGACTTGCGAGCCCCCGACGGTGTCCAACTAGCGGGTTGCGCGAGGGCAGCGGGCCGCCGAGTGGCGAGGGTCGAGGCCGAGGCCGGGGTCGCTCCGGCGGCAGCTATGCCGACCATGGCCCTCCCACCGACGCGATCAGGTGGAAGATTGAGACGCATGTCCCCGCGGAGAGCGCGCGCCGCGGCCGACCCGCATTGCCCCGCGGGCAGGCGGCAGCTGCTGGCCAAAAAGACTCGGGGCCGGCGGGCGCGGAGCGTCGCGGCCACGGCCCACAGAGCACGCCGAGAACATGCCGAATGACCTGGATGGCCGTGCCGCGGGCTTCCAGTGGAACTTGGGACGCTGGGGCTGCCCCAAAATCGGATGCAGTTGGCGCGCCGGGAGGTCGAGGGTCTTGGCTGCCAGCTCCAGGCCAGCCTCCTTGCCCCGCGCAAGCTGGCGATCGTGGGCGCGCCCCCCGTGGGCGCGCAGGACATCTGCGGTGTTTTGGAGAAGCCGACTGGCTGCGGGCGGCTCGCCTGCGCGGGCGACGCGACGACGGGCGTTGACCTTGCGGCTGAAACGAGGGTCACAGGGGCGCTCAATTTCCCGGCGGAGCTCAACCCGTGGCGCGCGTTTCCGGCCATGCCATCGCCCATTCCTTCGACGCCCGCATTGCGGCGCGCAGCGAGCTGGTTGCCGCTGTCTGCGTCGTCTCGGGGCAGGGGCCGCGGCCGATCACTCCGAGGCGTCGGCCGCGTCTCCTGGGGGGTCGCCGGGAAGAGCCCGCGCGACGCCCGCGCGACCAACGGCGCGCGCAGAATTTGGCCGAGCGCATGCCGACAACCGCCGCCGACGTCGCGGGATGAGACGGCCCGCTCGAGTCTCGGGAGGTTCTCGGGGAACTCGTGGCCAGGAAGCCCGCGAACGACCGGCTGGCCGCGGGCAGCGGTCCCCGCAACGCCGCGCGCCCGAGGGGCGGCCGTCTTCTCGGGGCGGCGAAGGGGGCGGGGGGGGGGCGCCCAAGGTTGGCGCGCAGCGGATCTGAGGACGCACTGCGAGCTCGCCACCGCAAACTTCAAACTCAGCCTGGGCGCCCCGCGCCTGGGGTCTCCAGGCATTGCGTCGACAGCGCGTCGCACCGCGGCGGGCGCTGCGGTTGGCGAGGGCCACGAAGTGCAGCGCGCGCGACGGCGGCGGCGAGACCTTGGGCGGGGCCCGTCGAGTCGCGCCTTCTGGCGGGAACGCGGGGAACGCCACCGCCGACGAGGTTTGGGACTTCACTGCGAGGGGCTGATGCCGTCACTTCGGTCGACGCCATGCGACTCCCCTTCGATCCCGAAGGCAACTGCCGCTCGCGCGGCCTGCAGGGCCGCGCCGCCTCCCAGAGCCGCGCCCAGGGCCCCGGGCCTGCCGAGGCCCACGGGGGGACATGGCGAGTAGAGGCGGCCATCGGCATTTTAATTGGGGCCGCGACCCGCGCGGTCCACTAGGGCTCGGTTTGCCCAGTGGAATGGCCTTTCCATGGGGCCGCCACCGCCCGATGCGAGATGTTCAATCATGCAGCCCCGAGATGATCTCCCGAGCCGGGCCATCGCGCACCTGCGCGGCGCCCTGCAGGAGGCGGCGCGACTGGCGGAGGTGGAAACCCGCGGCGGCACTCCCGCCGAGGCACGCGCGCTTCCGACGGCGCAAGCTGGCCGGGCTGTCCCCTGTAAGATCTCATGCCGACCACAGAAAGGAAGTTTGCGCGACTCGCCCGGGGCCGCTTTCACCAAGTGGGCCGACGCGGGCAGCTGGTCGACTCGCGGCGGGGGCCCAGCACCATGGTCGAGGCAAAGTCCACCACTACTACGACAGGTGGGAGCTTGCACATCTGCGCGTCCCTGAGGGCGGTCAATGTAATATCGAAGCGCGGTGATTCTGGTCTACCGTGGCCACGTGCTCAAGGGCGCCCCTCGGCAGCTGAAAATGGCCTCCGAGGTGGAGGCGACGTTGTGCGATATGGGCGCAGAGACGGTTCGCTTCCTCTCCAGCATGACGGAGGAGTCTACGATCGACAAGGCGCACTCCGCACTGGACCTACGAGGCGACGCAGCAGGTAGCGGTATTCGGCCCGACGATCCAGCATCTCCAGGACCGTCTACAGTAGATTGCGTGGAGCTGGTGGGCCGAGAGCTACAGCTGAAGGACCGGGCCATGACCCTCCTCCTGTCCAGGAGATGCCTCGACAGCCACGTGAAGCTCAACGAAAGCTTCGCGATCTGCTGAAAGATGCGCCTATGCGCGTCCGCCAGCAGCGCCAGGGGCAAAGTACATTGGGGGGCCAGGAAGGGGGCGACGTCGAGCAGCCGAAGGAGGCATGCCAATTGAGGCGCGAGCGCACGTCCTGGGGCAGCGCGCTGGCCAACGTGAGCGACCAGGAGCACGTCTTCTCTGTGCCCCGTCGACCTCCCCGTCGGCCTCCGATTCATGAGCGGACATCGCTCCGCGAGGGGCCCAGCCGCGTGGGCTGCAGCTGCTGCGCGAAAGAATCCGGAGATCAAACTGAGGAGCATAGATTCTGGCATTCGAGAATGTTCCAGAGACGCCAAGAAGAGCGAGGTGATAAACTGGCCGACCAACAAAGGGACCGACCGAGCCCTACGAGAAACGGGACTGAAGCCCATGTGGACGCACTGGCGCTTCGCTGTCTAGAGTGATGGGACGTGCTGCTAAGCTTCCAGGATCACCGCCTCGGGGCCGTCGACGCCGCCGGCCCGCCTATCTCGGGAAGGGGTCGGGACTTGGCGCTGCAGGTCTGCGCCAATCGATAGCTGATGATCTACATGGGCGACGCAAGGGCAGCATTTCTACGGCCGCGAGCGTCCCCTGCAGGGATTCTGGTCGAGCCCGCGAAGGAGTTCCACGATGCCCTAAGCCTGAAGAAGACTGGCACGCTCCTCAAGAAGACCCGCGGTCACCTTGGCGCTCGCAAGGGGTGGTTCTGCGAGATCCCCAACTAGATGATATCCGCGTGCAGGGGGCCGACGGAGCTCGAGCCCCGCCTGCGGGCGCTGTGCCAAGGCAACCCGAATGCGGCAATTTCGATTGCTCACGTTGACGACGCGGCCATCGGCGTGGACGCTCAGAGCCCACTCGACTCTCGTAAACTGCAGGTGCTCAGGGCTACTGAAATTCTTGACGCTTCGGGTATCCCCACCAGCCCATCTAGAAACGATCAGCAGGGGAGTCGGTGAATCAGGGGCGGCAGGACGCATGCAGTTGCGCAGCCGTCTTCTTGACAACAAGGATCACAAAGAGCTTCCCGCATTGAAATTTTAGGTGGAAGCCAGTGCAAGCTACGATGGTGCTTCGATGAGGGGTGATGGGGGGGCTCGGTGACTCGTTACGGCTGTTGCACCGATTCGACTCTTAAGTTCGGAGCCATCTTGGGGCTCTCTTGGGGTTCTCTCGGGGCCCTCTTGGGGCCCTTCTGGAGCTTTTTCTTGGGACTCTCTTGAGGTCCTCTTAGGGCCTTCTTGGAGCCCTCTTGGGGCTCTTTTGGGGCGTCTTGGGACACTGTTGGGGCTCTTTCGGGGGGTCTGAGATCTCGCAGCTCGCCAGCGGGACCATCCAGCAGCCCATCCGGAAGGCCGACAAGGAAGTGACGATGATCGGGTGCTGGCAGAAACTGCCACATGGCAGGGCGGGGGACGAACTACCACTTGCTGGAAAGACTGCCCGTCGCGCTGCCATAGGTTGGCTCCAGCACCTCGCCATCCAGGGCATGGGATTCATCGCCGCGGACACCTGGCTCACTGCCGGCTCGCGATGTGGTCGTTTATATACCGCCCGCTCTTCGACCCCGTCATCGTGGCCTTCCGCGACGTAGCCTCGACAGTGCGACGGGCTGGGTGGTCTCAGGGAGGGCTCGTCTTTGCCGTGGGGGAGATGCGCAATCTGGACGGTCCGAGGTCCCGCACTTCCCCCGTGCTGATGGCGTCCACGAAGCGTTCGCGGACGGCGGGATCCCGCCGGGGCTGTCTTTTGCAGGCCGGCAGCGTTGCCGACGAAGAAGCCGCATTTTTGCGCCTGGCCGACCTCGAGGTTTTGCCAGGATCGGTCAGCCCACAAGCCGTGCCCGACGGCCCACAGGAAACGAATGTCACCGCTTAGACAGGCATCAAGGGCCTCCATGATGCACTCACTGGTGACGAACGTGAGCGCTAGTTTGGGAGCGGACGGCAGCATGAGTGG